TTTCATCTGTGAACTTTGTGACTTGGATAGAAGATCACTGGCAAAGGAACCAAACATGGATGTAACCAAGTGGCAGCTTTTCCTGGAAGCTAGTCAAAAACATCATTATCAAGAACTGGAAGTGTTGTCCTGGCAAAGGAACAATTTATGTGTCCGGTGACTATCCCCATGGGGAAATTATCACGTCATGTTATAAAATAGTTTATAAAATGCCTTTAACCATGGCTACTTGGAATTGTATGGCTTACAAACTCTGGGAAGATATACAGGTCATATTTTACAGAGCTGGAAAACGTGAGAAGAAATTGGTTGATTATAAATATACTAAGGAGTAATGAAGAAACTTTCGTATGCCACTCTTTATTTTTCCTCTTTTATAACTATTATTCTTGATGACTTGTGTTCACTGTATACTCCCTGCTCTCACTTCAGTTTGTGCAAGTGATATCCTACAAATAAATATAAAGGTGTCATGTTGATTGAGGTGCCTTTCAGAGTCTAATTTTGTACATAAATAATTCATCGTCCCGTGAAGAGTGTGGGAACTAAACTATGAACATCAAAGCTTGGAACAGACATAGGAGGAAAGAGAAACAGAAATCTTATTCTATAAAGCTATTCCTATGTAACAGTTTAAATAAAGATCATATGCCCAAAATAAAACAACTTCTATGTCTGTGTTGTAAACCTTTCTTTTCTGTCATCTCACAAAATGCCTTTCAGTCGAATGCTCTTCTATTATAAGTGAGCAATATCTGCTACAACTGACTCTTCATTTTTCCATACCTTATGCACACAAATAAAATACAGGTTGAATGGCTAAGTAATGGTGTTTCATATCTCTGCTAGTTAGATTTTCTCCATTAAGATTCTGGCCCAGTGTTTGAGATTTAGGTCTGTGTGTATAAGAAGCGTTTCCAGGCTTGAATCAAATTAGAAGTGCACCCTTTACTGGAATTGTTTATATGTAGATAGATAAAGAACACCTGTAGCTGTACTGGTTTGTTTTCACATCCTTTCACAAGGGTTGAAGGCACCAGCTCGTTTTTTCATTACCCTAATGTTAGAATGATTCATTTTCTAAGGTGTTTAGTGTGTCTTTTTCCAATGATACTTTTTCATTCTCTAGATGCTAGCAGAAAATTTCTCTTTGTAAAAGAAGAATGATATAGGTACTAAGGATTTTGGTTTAGTTTTCTACTTAACTATTATTTTCTGCATTAAATTGTTTTGGTCCACCAAAACTAGCGGTGAAGTGAAAAAACAACACATTAATTTGATCCAAAAGATTGTTTGGTTAAGTATTTTGTGTGGCCAAAACCAAATAATTTAATTTTCTGCACGGAGTTTCATTTTAATCCTAATTTTGCTTTAAATTTCAACAAGCTTCAAAGCAAGTTTCAAAATTTCAGTTTGGAAGCCACATAGCAAAAATTTTGACTTTTTCAAAAACATGTTCGTTTCAATCTAATTGCCATCTTCGGTGCAAATTCGTGACCAGTTCTGGCTCATATGAACTGTGTTCACCTGATCAACAGGTCATCTGAGAGATATCAGCCAGCTTATTCAATATCAAACAGATGTTTGGCCTGGGTACTAAATGGAGAAGAAACTGTCACCTTGATGATGTCATACTGCTAGATGTGTATTGTGGTCTTTAAACAAATGCCATGTTTAAAAAGATTCTGTTTAATTTGAAAATAAAATCTAGTGTGAACTTTTCAAAGACTCTAAGAAATGTAAGATTCAAAGAATAAATATAGTGGATTTTCCTTCATGTGCTGTGGGGGAGGGGGAAGGATTCTGTCGCTGCTGTTTGCTTTGGATATGAAAATTTAATCTTTTTTGTGTGTCTTCCCCATCCAAAGTATGATCTTCCACTGTTTTTTTTTTATTTACTTGATAGAAGGGCAGAGAAGTTGAAACAGTGTGTGGGAAATGACACTGCTAATTTAATGCAGCCTCAGTGGTTAAATCTGGAGAAACATTTATAGTCTTTTAAGGAAAAAACTAACCACAGTGTCCAGTTCTTAACAGCTGTGTACATTAATAGGGAACCAGAATGGTAACTGTTGGATCTTTTGACAGAACTTCTACTATGTGTTAGTGAGAATTAGTGATTATTTTCTACTGCATGGAGCTTGCTACCTGTCCCCCAAAGCCTCTTTCCATTGCCAAGAAAATCATATCTGGGACCAAAAATCTGGCTCGTTTTGTAATTGAGAATTAATTCTAGGTTACAACAGAATCTCAGAGGAAAATAGGCAGACATTCAAGCAGAAAGAAAATAACTGGTTTAAAATCCCGCCTAGAATTGGAACAGTGGTTGATCCCAAGCAATACTTAGGCCAGAAGAGAAGTGACAGGCTTGCTAAGCAGCTAGCTGACATTGTTTAATTCCTGTGAGTTGTGGGATTTTTTGCATTCAGGAACAACTGGGAAAGTGTGTATTTCCATGGGGTATAATGGAACTATAGTTGACTATGCTGTCAACTCTGAAAAGAGTTGACAGAAGAAGACAATGACTAGCAAGAGCAAGACAAAGGCTGAGAGGGCTGCCATCACTTTCAAGAAAGATATCAAGGGTGAAGGCCAAAGGAGGAAAGGAGCTACTGAAGTGCAAGGAAAAAGATGGTCAAGAACACAAAACCGTTCAGGACATTTTCCAAGAAAACCTCACCATAAGCAGGGTAGTAGCAAGTGTCACTTGGTGCATTGGTAAGGAATGGTGAGGAAATCCTGCATGCTCTCTACATGTATGCGAAGTTCATGCAGAGGGAACCAAAAACTCTTTCACCACTGGTATCACCACAACGAAATGAATGTCTATGGTATAAATGCCCTTATTTACATAGTCTGAACGTCCAGATGAATTTACAGGGACGCCCAGCAACTGTGCCCAGTGCATGGCCACCAAGGGCAGGGACAGCCCCCTGGGCCTCCTGGGCACAGGGGCTGCCTCCGGGCCAGCACCCCAAAGGCCTTCCTCCAAAGGATGCTGGGTGGAGGGGCTGTGGGCGGGGCTGCGCATGGGGGGGCCCCCCCATCAGCGCCATGTCACAGTGCCACCACCCGGCAACGCAGCAGTCACAATGCCCCGGGGCGGGATAAAAGGGAGCATCCTCCCGTGTCCCGCTGCCAGAGCCGGCCCGGGGGCAGCCCAAAGACATCTGAGAGGAAGTCCTTGAGGAGCTGGTGGAATTACTTGGAGGGTGCTGAGGGAGGAAGACCGGAGGAGGCTGGACGAGGCTGCTGGAGGTTCTCCGCTGCAAGGCCAGTTCCTGGCAGGGCCACCTTCAAAGCTCATCTGAGGGACGGAAATTCTTTTCAGCCGGACAGCAGAGGCAAGACCAAGGGAATGCCTTCTAGAGGAGCGCTGCAGAGCTCGCCATCCTCATCCCCTGTGGAGCCAGGGGCAGCAGCTGTAAGAAACGGGATGCACAGGTGTTGCCAGGGGTGCCAGTGCTTTGGAGCACCCACTGGCGTCCTGCCAGGCGCGAGAAGGATTCTTGCCCCCAGGGTCGATCAGACCAGGGGCATCTGGCCGCTCTTGGAAGCCCCTGAGATGGCGCCAGGTTGAGGGAGAATAGGGCTTGGGCATCTCCTGGGAGGCATGACCAGCCTGTGGGACGAGGAGGCAGGTCTTGCTCACATGCTCAGGGAATAGCCGATCGCCAGCGCTGGGGTCAGGAAGGAATTTTCCCCCGGGGCAGATTGGCACTGGTCCCCGGGGGTTTTTTGCCTTCCTCTGCAGCATTGAGCATGACCACTTGTCAGGGCTCCTCCGGTCCCTTTTGGCGAGGTTACTGCCTGCTGCTCATGCACCAGGAAGATGGCCTCTTGTGCCCTAGAGCTGGGGGGAGGAAGGCTTTTTTTCCCCCACGGTGGACTAGCAAGTGTCCCCGGGGGTTTTTTGCCTTCCTCGGCATCACTGAGCTCGGTCCCTTGCCAGGGCTCCTTTGGGCCATTTTGGCTAGGTGCCTGCTGCTCGTGCTTCACAAAGGTGGCCCTTGTGCCCCGCATCCGGGGGGAGGAAGCTTTCTGGACTCCCAGGGCGGGCCCCCAGGGTGGCCCCCGGGGTTTGCTGCTTTTCCTCTGTAGCACTGAGCACAGCCCCTTGTCAGGGCTCCTCTGGGCCCTTTCGGCTCACTTCTTGCCTGCTTGCTCTTGCACCTCCAAGGCGCCACTCGTGCCCTGGCTCTCTCTGGCTCTCTTGCCCATTGCAAGTTTGGAGCGGGAGCGAGCTCTGCTCTTCCCTTGGCTCCATTTCCCCGGGGGTTCTTGCTTGTGCAAAACAGCCTGTGCTTGGAAGGGCTCCAGGCTTGCTGCAGCATGCGGAGCTGCCACTTCCCAGCTCTCCCTGCATGCATTAAAAGTGCAGGGCAGGCACGAGAGCGCTTTTTGTGCACCACTGGCCAAGAAGCAGAGCAGAGCAAGTTTTGGAAGGCAAAAACTATACTTGTCGTCAATATGTGCCACATTTGGAAAATACCCCGTGGTACCACACACCCCTTCTCCTTCTCCTTCTCCTTCTCCTTCTCCTTCTCCTTCTCCTTCTCCTTCTCCTTCTTTGTCGTCATCATTGTCGTCATCATCATCATCGTCGTCATGGTCATCGTCGTCGTGGTTGTCGTCGTTGTCATCTTCTTCGTTGTCATTGTCCTCTTCATCGTCATCTTCTTCATCGTCGTCTTCTTCTGGTTCTTCTGATTCTTCTTCATCGTTGTCTTCTTCTTCGTCGTCTTCTTCATCATCGTCATTGTCGTCTTCTGCTTTTTCTGCTTCTTCTGCTTCTTCTTTGTCGCCGTCTTCTTCATCGTCGTCTTCCTCGTCATCATCTTCTTCATCATCATCTTATTCTTCATCATCGTCTTCGTCGTCTTCTTCATCATCATTTCGTCTTCTTTGTCATCTTCTTCATTGTCTTCTTCATCTTCGTCATCGTTGTCGTCTTCTTCATCGTCTTCTTCATCTTTGTCTTCGTCTTCCTTGTCGTCTTCTTATTTGTCATCCTCTTCTTCATCGTCATTGTCGTCGTCTTCATCGTTGTCGACTTCATTGTCTTCTTCGTGGTCGTCATTTTCTTCTTCATCATCATCTTCATCGTCATTGTCATCGTCTTCGTCATTGTCTTCTTTGTCTTTGTCTTCATCTTCTTTGTCATCTTTTTTGTTGACTTCGTCGTCGTCTTTTTCTTCTTCATCATTGTCTTCATCGTCGTCATCTTTGTCATCGTCTTCTTCATCGTCATCTTCATCATCATCGTCATCTTCTTCTTCATCATCTTCGTCTTTGTCTTCATCTTTGTTGTCGTATTCATCGTCATCTTCATCTTCGTCGTCGACTTCATTGTCTTCTTCATGGTCATTGTCTTCTTCATCGTCGTCGTCTTCTTCTTCATTGTTATCTTTACCGTCATTGTCATCTTTTTCGTCATCATCTTCTTCGTCATCTTCTTCGTCATCATCTTCTTCTTCGTCGTCGTTTTCTCCTTCTTCGTCGTTGTCTTTTTCTTCTTCTTCGTCATTGTCTTTTGTGTGTGGTCATTCTTCAAGTTCTTACTGTTGAGGAAGCAGGGACTGCTTGGCCTGTATTCTTCTGTGTCTCTTTGGCTTTCCATTGCCAGACTGCAAGGCATGTTTTTTCCAGCTAAACTGAAGAATGCATCAGCCTGCTCCTGGCTACACATGGGCATTGGGTAATGCTTGTCAGCATCGACTCCGAAATGGATTCAGAAAAACAAAATAAAGTCAAATCTTGTAACCTTTGTGATTTGTGTCTTTGAATGTCTTTTTGGATCTGAACCCCCCCTGGCATTTCAGCCAAATAACTGTCTCATGGTTATGTGACTCATGGTGAGCGCAGAGAATAGAGTAGGATAGGATAGGATAGAATAGAATAGAATAGAATAGAATAGAATAGAATAGAATAGAATAGAATAGAATAGAATAGAATAGAATAGAATAG